TTTTTTGGGTTTTTTTTTTTGCGTCGTTGTCTCCATAAATGCCACTCGTAGGTTATTGAAAAAGATGACAAGTTTCTCATGCACATCAGAACCCCCCGAGAAGCTTCTTAAAAAATAAAATTAAATTAAAGTATAAAATTAAAAACAACGACTCAGGCCGGTCCCTGCCCTCCCCACTCTCCCCCGACCCCACCAGTGCTGGGACCCCCCCTGGCACCTGCAGCTGGCCCCGGTGGGCTCTGCCCCGGTGCTGCTGGGAAGGAACTGCAGCGGCCGGTGATGCTGCCAAACCCTCCGGTGCTCCTGCTGCCTGCCAGCGGGGGGGTCAGGCCAGGGGTCCCTGCTCCCCTCCCTCCTCCTGTGGCTTTCCTCATGCTCCCTCCATCACTCTCGCCCCCCTTTAATTTTTGCCCTCGTTTTTTTCTTCTTTTTTTGTCTTTTTTTTCTTATGGAAAAAAATATGAACCTTTTTTTTTTTGTTGGTTGGTCGGTTGTTTTCGTTTGTTTTCTCGATGCAGTTACTTTGACATCTCAACGTCAGCAGATCGTTTTTAACAAAGATTCGGATATAAAAATACAAATATGAGGAGTTTCTGTTTAAAAAGAAGCGTGCCGGAGTGGTGGGGCTGACCCTCGGCCCCCGGGCCGGCCGCCCGGGCCACCAAGCTCATGCAAAAAACGATGGAGCAAAAAATGTCTCTGGACAGCAGCGCTCCCCCCCCAGCTCATGGGGCCGGGTCGCCCCGGAATTCGGGGACCCTCCGCCAAGGAGGATTGGGGGGACGCGCCGCGGAGCAGGGGGCTGGAGCCCTTCCCCGGGGAGGGGGGTCTTCGCCCAGGGTGGGGGGCTCGGCGGTTTGTCCCGGCCCCGGGGGAGGCGGAGGGGTAAAGTGCATGGCTCGGGGGGGGGTGGTGGTGGCTGCAGGGCCCCCCCCCGGGCCGGGGGGGACAGCGGGCATGGCCTCCCCCTCCTCGTCGGCGGTCCAGCCAGCATGCGGGGCGGCGGGCTGGAGCGGGGCTCGGCCGGCGGGTCCTGGCGGCGGGTCCCGGCTTACACCCCCGGCGGCGACTTCTCCGTCATGCCCTTGAGCACCTCGTCTATCCGGTCATCCTCGATCACCACTGCGGGGACAGGGCAGGGGGGGCGCGTGGGCGAGGGGACGCGACAGTCTCTGCCCCTCTACGCTGGCTCTCCCCCCCGGCAGGCTCCAGGTGTGCCCCCGGGTGCCGGGCAGCCGGGCAAAGGGGGTTCAGGTGGGTATAAATGGGGTGAAGGGTGGGGGAATCACCCCCCTGCCCGGCTTGGGTAGGGGCAGCATCCCCAGAGCCAGCAGCTGCCTCTGGATGGGTGATTAGGGAAGGGGGGGGCAGGAATAGACCAGGAAGGACCCCCCCTCCTCTCTGCGGCAGGCGCTGATGAGAGCAACAGGACTGGAATGGGTAATGACCCAGCGGGGGGAGAGCACCGCCTGCTCGGCGGGGGTGGCAGCCAGACCCCCATCGGCATCACCCGCTGCGCAGGACACCCACCCTCAGCGTCGGCATCGCCGGCGGGGGAGCCGGACAGCCCCCCACCAGCATGGCGGGCTGCACGAACCCCCATCAGCATCACCATGGGGGGCTGAAGAGCCCCCCGTCGTGTCACCTTCCACAGAGACCCCCCCCGGCATCACCCACTGGGCAGCCCCCTCCCCAGCAGCAGCGGTGGGAGGCTGGGCAGACCCCCGTTAGCATCACCAGGGAGCTACACACACACCTTCCCCCTACCCCACACCACGGCCGGCTGGGCAGGTACCTCCCATCAACATCACTCCGGGGGTGGAGGGCAGACCCCCACCCCAATATCACTGCTGGGGTGGTCAGTAATCCCCCCATCACCCTCCTGGGGGTGGATTAACCAGATTCCCCCCCCCACATCCATCGCCAGAATCACTGAGAGCAGAGGGAACCCCCCCAACACCACCGAAGGAGAATCATCCCCCCATCAGCCTGGGGGTGCTGCTAGACCCAGCCTCCACCACTGCAAAAGGGGGCAGTGGAGCAGGCAGCGCTCACCCCCGTGGGGCTGGGGTGTATTTCAGCCTGGGGGGGAACTCTCCCCTCCCTCCTTACCCCTGCACCTAAAGAAGGGGTGTTTGCCTATACAGGACCCCCAAGCAGGTGGGATGGGGGCTTCAGGAAAAGTGGGGGCCATTTTTAAGGGTCCCCAAGGCATTGGGAAGGATCACTGGTGACAGATGAGGGTGCAGGCAGGAGAGGGGGGCAGTTCTTTGGGTCCTGATGGAAGCAGGGGAGATGCTGCTGGAGATGCTGCTGGGGTCTCTGCAGCAGGAGGTGAAGTACGGGGGGGCAGGACACAGCTGTGCTCGTGGAGCCCTGGGGGACAGCAAATGCGGGGGGGATCTGCTGATCAGCATGGCCAGAGGCTGCTGGTGGTCTCTGCGGCAGGCAGAAATGTGAAGGGAGAGAGGGGCCAGGAGGGCTGTTCCTGGTGATCCTCGGGTAAAGGCTTGTTTATAAGAATGAGAAGGGGACAGTCCCGGGGTGCTGGGGAGCAGTTCCGAGGGGTGCCAGGGGCACTCGCGGAGGTGCTGGGGGATAGTCCCAGGGGCAGCCCTGGGGATGCTGCAGGGTAATCCCGGGGGTAGTCCCGGGATGAGGCGGGGGCTGTTGCAGGGCAGCAGCGGGGGAACAGTGTGGTGTCTGTAGCAGGGGATGGGGGAGCCTGTGTTTTTGGGGGCGGGTGTCAGTCACAGAGCTGGGGAGTCTCAGGGTTGCCGGGGGACAGTGCTGGAGCTGATGTAGGGCAGACATGGAGATTCTGGGGATACTGGAGGCAGTGCCAGAGCTGGCAGGGGACAGTGCTGGGGATGCAAGGCAGAGCCGGGAGTCGCGGGAATGCAGTGGAGCAGTGCTGGGGATGTTGCAGGGCAGAGACAGGGGCTGCCATGGGGCAGAACTGGAAATACAAAGGCTGAATCGGGAGTCTGGGGATCTCGTGAGGCGATATTGGGGGTGCCAGGGACGCACTGCCCAGTGCCGGGAACGCCGGGGAAGCAAGGGCAGAATTCTGGATCCTGGGGTTGCTACGGGAAGATGCCGGGGATGCCGGGGGGCAGTGCCGGGGATGCTGCAGGGCAGATCCGGGGACGCTGCAGGGCAGAGCCAGGGATACTGCAGGGCAGAGTCGGGGATTCCAGGGCAGAGCCGGGAATTCCAGGGCAGAGCCGGGAATGCAAAGACGGATGAGGGGGTCCCGGGGATGCCGTGGGGCAGCGTCAGGGATACAGGAGGCAGTGCCGGGGACGTTGCAGGACAGATGTGGGGGTTTCGAGGATGCCGTGGGGCAGTGCCGGGGTTGCAGGAGTCAGCACCAGGGTTAAAAGGACAGACCCGGGGGTCTCGGGGATGCCGTGGGGCAGTGCCGGGGATGCAGGAGTCAGCAGCAGGGATGCCCGGGATGCTGCAGGGCAGATCCGAGGGTCCCGGGACAAACCCGGGGATGCCAGGGCAGATGCGGGGGTCCCGGGGCTGAGGCGGGGTTGGGGGGCAGAGCGGGGGTCGGCGGTACCTCTCTTGGCGCGGCCGATCTGTCCCAGCTTGGGGGGCCGCTTGCCCTGGTTGCCCCCGAAGAAGGCGTTGGTGTCCTGCAGGCGGCAGCTGAAGGGCAGCTCCCCCGCCTCGGGCTCGGCGCCGTAGCGGCCCACCTTGTCCTCGCCGTAGGGCAGCACCTGCGACATGGCGGGGCCGAGCGGGCCGAGCCGCGCCGCGCCGAGCCGGGAGCCGGTCTGCGGCGGCGGCGGCGGCGGCGGGGAGGAAACCCGGGCGGAAGGATGAAGTCATGCATCCGGGGGGAGCGGGGACCCCCCCGGCGGGGGGCGGCTCCGGAGCGCCGCGGCCCGGCCCGGCCCGGCCAGGACAGGGACGGGGGACCCCCGCGGCCGGTGCCCGGGGACCGCCGGCGTGCGATGGGGACCCTGCCAGCAGCCCCCGAGCGCGGCGGTCCCCCCCGGCACAGCCTTTCCCAGGCGGCCGCCTCTGCTCAGGGGTGCCCCCAGCCACGGGGTGCCCCTACGGAGAGGTGAACCCTTGTCACAGCCGGGTGCCACCGGGTCGGACAGCTGAAGACCACCAGACACAGCTGGGCCCTCCCCTGGCAGAGATGTCAAACAGAGCCCCAACACCCTGCTCCAATCCCCCAGCGCCCCATAGACCACAAAGCTCAACCCTCAGGATTCCAGGCCAGCTCCCACCCTGGGTCTACCTCAGCCCCTCACTTGTGTCCCTTGCCCAACACCCATCCAGGCACCCACTCTTGTAGCCCCATTCAGTGCTGGGATTCCCCCTGGCAGCCACACCAGTCCTGCCTCAACCCCTGCCAGTCCTCTTGGCCCCCACGTGTGCATGTGTTTGTGCACATCCTCCTGTTCTGTATCTTTGCAGGAATGCAGGGGCTCACAGGTGTAATTATGCAGGTGTCTGTAGGTGGGGCCTCATGGGGACTGTGCCCTGGGACAACCCTTGTCCCACTGACCCTTCCCCTGGGGGCTCTCTGTGGAGAAGGAGAAGGGGAAGGGCTATTCCCCCCTATCCCCTGTGAGGACCTGCGATGGGGCAGCAAGGGGTGATCTCAGTGTCCCCCCAGAGCCCCATTTGTATCTACACACCTCTACCCCAGACCCACCCTGGATCTTTTCTCCTACATTGTTGACTGCCAGGGCAGTGATTGCATTAACTGGTGGTTGATTAATTGGCCTTGGTGGTTCTGAGCAGCCTCACCCAGGACCTCCCCCATTCAGGTCACCTGGGGCAGCTGGGGGGGCTATTTAAGCTCAGGATAAAGTTGGTGCTTCTTGAGTGAACTGTGGGTACGGCCATGACCCCTGGATCTTGGAATGATGGTGACAGCAGCAGGGCTATGGCTGGCTGGAGAGGACAATCCTGTCTTGGTGCAGTCTGGTTCCTGCTGTTCCCTCGTATCCAGGTCCTGCTGCTCATATGGAGGTTCTGGGTTGGCAGCAAAGCCAGATCCCTGAATGGAAATGGCACTTCATTCATGCCAGCCCACAGCCCTGTGAGAATATCTTGAGGGGGTGAGAGTGGCATTTTCCAGACAGCCTTGTGGTCCATCTTGTTCCAGCATCTCCATAGCCTGAGATCCTGTTGAAAGGTGCTGCAGAAGAGCATCAGCTGGGCTGGTCCATGACGGCAGGCAGGTTCTTCTATTTTGGGAAGGCTCAGCCATGCTTTTACCTTTGTGTCTGGATCTGCAGAATATCGGTCCCTGCTGTCCCCTACCAGAGCCAGGTTGGGGCAGTGGTACCTGCTCTCCTGGCAAGGCAATTCTTTTATTCATGCCTTTGCTGGGGAACCAGCTTGAACTTTTTCATGTGAAAGCTTCTGCTCCTGTGAAAAGTGCCTGGGAAAATAGGCAAGAGGCCCACGCTGAGATGTGGCCTGCTTTTCCCGTTGCTGAGCCCACGTGCCATTGCCCGTGGGCAGGGACAGGCAGACCGTGGCACGCGCGGGGCGCGGGGCTGGGGGTGAGCGATGAGAGGAGCAGATGGGCTGTGTGGGACGTGAGTGGCACCGGTGCAGCACTCCAGGAGGGTTTCCAGCCTGGCAGGCTGCTGGGGAGAGGCTGGAAAGGGGTCACCCTGGGAATGGCCCCACATATCCCACACCTGTATTTGTACAATGCCTCACACCTGGAGGAGCTACTTGATTTGGCTATGGAGTGAGGGGGAGCTCTGTGGGGCTGCCTGGGATTTGGGGTGTGGGAAGGACCATGTGCTCATCCCAGACAGGAGGAGGGTTGGATTTGTGCCAGCACAGCTGGGCTGTGGGTGGGACAGGGCAATACTGTGGCTCTGGGCTCTGCATCTACTTGGGACAGCTCTAGTCTCTGGTTCCCCAAAGGTGCTGCTTGTCACGCATCCCTGAGTAGCAGGGGAAGGTACCAAGGACTTGAATGTGAGTGGGTTGGCAATGGGGTGCATAATAGACCCCCCTCATCCTCTGCCATTGCGTGTAGCATTCCCCCTGGTGAGCCAGATGAGCACCCTCCTTCCCCTGGCTCTCATCCCACCTTCCTTATTCGTCTTCTAGCAGCCACGTAATCTCCTTTCTTGCTTCCTTTGCAGCCTTTTGTCCAACACAAAGCCAACTCCACCGGAAAGAAGGGGCTGTGGGGGTGGGAAGCAGGGTGTTCTTCCTGCCCTGGCTCCTTAAACCTGGGCAGCATCCCCTGAGCTGGGACACCTTGGGGATGATGCAAGGGCTGGAGGCCAGCCATGCACCCCTCTGGTGGATATGGAGCTGGGTAGGAGGCACAGCATCAGGCCCAGCTGCCGTGGGGCTGGCAGTAGAGGTTGTGCTGCATCACCGACGCTTGGGCGATGCGCTGGGAGCTCACCAGTCCCTGCCGTGCCCTAGCTCCACACCTGGATACTGCCCCTAAGCCCTGCACCCTTGTGGGAATTTGGGGGCCTAGTCCAAGTGCTGTGATAGAGGTGAGAGCTTTTCCTGCAGTCACTGATGATTCAAGTGGTTTTATGGTGGAAAATCACCCTGTGTGTGTGCAAGTGGCTTGCGGTGGAGCATGTCCTGCCCATGCTCTGCAGGGACCCCAGGCAGCTGGAGCTGGGAACCACCAGGCACTCCCATCCAGGCCAAGGCTGGCAGGAATGGGGTCGGGATCCTGGCAGTCAGGGACTGGATGTCAGGGAGCTGAAAGGAAGCAGGAAGCATCAGCCTCAGGACCCAGGGCTTTCCCTGCTGCACTACGGGAGGTAGTGCTATCACCTGGGGCTGGTGCCACAGAGCTGGGGGCTGCCAAGGCATGCCAGGAGGCCAGCGCGGGTGCCTCCATCTGTGTTGCTTCCAGCCCTGCCAAAAAACGTGAAATGGCACTTCTGTTTCACAGCAGTGGCAGCCACTGGGGGCCTCACTGAGTGCCTGTTGTTGGCACTGATGCTTTCCCTGAGTCTCCATCCCAGCACGAGGGACTGTGTCACCGGTAAGGTTGGGGATGTGCCCGTCCCTGGCTGTTGCTGCTGGCTCTCAGTAGCCACAGTCCAGATGGGGATGCCACTTTGTGCACTGCCTGTGCCACAGTCCAGGTGTTCTGGGGGAGCAGAGACAAACTCTGGGCTGGGAACTGGCAGTGGGGATGACCTTGTGAGACAATGGTTGCGGTGAACACTGTCACCACAGGGCAGAGATGTTAGGGGACAGGTGTCCTGCTTGGCAGCTGTCCTGTGGGTGAGCCCAGGGCAAGTGTGCAGGAGTGGCATGCTCCTCATCTTCTGCTGTTCCTGCAGCTGCTGCTGTGGGAAGATGAGGCTGTCCCTGGAGGGACAGTGTCTCCCCCTGGGAAAAAAGACAGGTTGTCATTACTGAGATGAGTTTGTCTGTCTCTGTGTACAGCCTGGCTTTGAGATGGGGGTGCCCTGTAAGAGCAGGTGGAAGGAGGATGGCGCTGTCCCCATTCCTCACATGAGCTGCCTGGGACACAGCTGCGATCCTGGCATCTGAGCAGATGGAGCAACCCCAGCACACTGCCTGGGGCAGGGGCTTTACGGAGGGTCCCCTGCCGAGACCCAGGGGTGACAGGGGAAGAGCAGGAAGGGGGGGTAGCCAACCCTGCTGGGCAAACAGCCCTGCTGGGGTGTGAGGCTCCATCCTCGCCTGTCACCACATATCTGGTCACCATGACAACAGACAGGGAGGCAGGCGGAGTGGGCTGGCAGCCCTGGGGGGAGCGGGTGGAGGCCATGGGCATGGGCTGGCACACAGGGGCACCCCGTGGGTGTGAGGAGGCAGCTGTCAGGATGCGTGGCCTGTGTGATACGGAGGGAGGCTGGGCACTGCTCGGCCCAGGCACTGTGAGGTCCCCACTGTCCTTCTCCCGACCAAATACCCATGGGAAGCACACAGCGGGTTTGTCTGGGGATGCGGGCACTGCAGTGTGGCTGGCCAGCCCCTGTGCCAGCCCGTGCCGTGTTTGGCACGGCAAGCTCTGGCTGGTGGTGAGCTGAGCGGGTGAGTCATGCTGCTGCCCGGAGCCGTGCCAGGCAGGGCGGGCAGCTGGGTCTGCAGCCAGGCCCCTGCTGGGCCGTGGCCTCCCAGGTGGGGCTAGAGTCAGGCTGTGCCCCAGCACTAGGGGGTGGCAGCCTCCCTCTGAGCCGTCAGCACGAGGGATGTGTTCCCTGCCCTGGGTACCTCTGGGGGCAAAGGGGAGTGGGGGGGTGCAGACCCCTCTCTAATTGTCCAATTCTTGTCTGGCTGCTGGGCCCTGGGGAACGAGGTGAGCAGTCTTGGGGAGCAGGGGCACCCCCCGCCCCCCCCGGCCCACGCGCCCACTCGCGCCAGCAGCTCTTGGCGTGCAAGGAGTGTGTTCCTGGCAGCCCGGCCCTCTCCCATCTGGTATTTATCTCCTTCCCGAAATCCCTCCTGCTGCGGGAGGGATGCCCGATGCTGGGGGGGGGGGGGGTGAGGGGGGAAAATCTGGGCCCCATTGCTCACTCTGCAGCCCAGGGAAGAGGCCGGGCTGAGAAAAAGGCGGGGTGGGGGAAGAGAACTCCCCTACACATCCCCACCCCAAAAATGCATGTGGTTACTACGAGGCCTTATTGGGTCCTCTGGGGCCTCCTGCCTGGTTGTGAGTCCTGGGGGCAACCCTGCCAAGGTACCTTTGCCCCAAGCAAGCTCCCAGCCTGGCTGCAATTGTGGCCACTGCCCTGGGGAGGGGGCACATCCTCCCCCTCCAATCCCAACACTGCTGCCTGGCTGACAGTGGCCTGCCAGCACTGTCCCCCACCCCCAAACCCTGGGTGCCCCAAAGCTGCAGGAGCCAGGAGAGCCCGTGGGTTGCCTGGGCAACTGCAGCCAGGCAGTGATGGGGAGCAGTCCAGGGGAGCAGTTGCCATGGAGACCCAAGGAGCACAATCACCTTGGCAACGGTCCTGTGTGTCCTGCCACCCCCCATCCAGGGCTGCATCTGGAGGATATGCACCTGGGCTCCATTGTGAGCCTGGGCCAGCTCCTTAGATGAGGAAGGAGGGGAGGCAGTGGTCCCCACCCCTCCAAGGGGAGAGCCTTGGCTCCAGCACCCACCCAGCCCCCAGCTTAATGGCACGAAGGAAGAGGTGAGGCCAAGCTCATCTCCTTGGCTTTATCACTCCACGCACCACTGCAAATCACTCCCACACCCGGTCCCGTCTGGGAGGTCAGCAGGAAAACTGGGTGCAGTGGGGCTGGACCTGAGGGCAGGTTCTGTGGTACCCTAAAGCTGTTCTCCTGTCTTGGTGATAAAGCAGCTGGCAAAGGGACTCATCACTGCCAGCCCCTGGGTGTCCCCAGTGTGATCTGGGCAGTGGCTGTAGGCACATGGATTCGGGTGGCAGGACAAAGGTGGCACCATGGTATGTCACTGCAGTGGGTCAGGGGGGGAGTTGGATCTCTGCCACTCCACTGTGCCTGCTGTGTCCCACCAGCCCTGGTCCTTGCCCTCATAATCCTCCCCATAAATCCACACACTGGAAAAAAAATCACAAGAGAGAAGTCCTGTGTGGCTTTTGGGAGGTCATGGCTCAGAAAGAGACAAAAGTCCAATAGCTGGCAGCCAAAGTAGTGCCCCAGTGTGGGGTTGGGGGTCTCAGCTCCTCAGCTCAGGCTTTGTGTAGATATTCCCCAAGCCTCATGTTTAGGGAGGTCCTTCTGGTAGACAAAGGGAGGATGAGGAGGCTGTGACTCCCCTCCTCCCCAAAACAGACTGAAGGGCACACCAAGACCCCTCCCTCCCAAAAGGAATTGCACAGCTGCACATGAGGAGAAAGCTGAGATTTCTGCAGGCTCCAGGCTTGGCCCGGCTCTCGCTGCCCCTCCCCGGGCACCCCCGGGTGCTCTCAGACCTGGTAGAGGGGCACCACGCGGTCAATGGGCCCCCGGCAGATGGGGCAGAGGCGGGTGGGCAAGGCTTGGAAGCAGCGGAAGCAGCAGCAGATGTGGCCGCAGCCCAGGAGGACGCACTCGCGGGGCTGTGACAGGCAGACCACGCACGAGTCTTCGGGCGCCCGGTCGCCGGCCGCCTCCTCGTCCGGCTCCTCGTCCGGCTCCTTGTCCTGCTGCCGCTGCCTGGGGCGGGAGCGGCGGTAGGCGCGGCACAGGGCGTGCAGCAGCACGGCCAGCCCCGCTGCCGCGCACAGCAGCGCTGCCGCCTTCCAGAGCCCGCTGGCCGACTCCAGCTCTGACCGCACCGTCTGCCAGTCCCCCAGGCACAGGAAAAACTCGCCTCCCTGGGCCGGCGGCTGGAGGTGCAGGGAACCGTCGGGGTGCAGGGCCAGCTCCCCGATGCCCGTCAGCCCAGCCCCTACCCTCAGCATCTCCTCGGTCTCCAGGATGCCCTTGGGCTTCTCTCCGATCAGGTACTGGCCCAGCAGGTCGCGGAAGCCGTGGGATGGCTGCTGGAAGCGCTCGTACACCATCTCCAGGGGCAGGCACACGGCTTGCAGTGGGCTGTCCACACTCACCTGTGTGGCTGCCTCAGGGCCTGGCGAGGCCAGCAGGAAGGGGACGGTGTAGATCTGCTCTGAGAGCACCCGCTCGCTCTCGCTCCTGCAAGTGCAGAGGGTTGGGGTGTGGGGAATCACACAATCAGTTAGGCTGACCTCTGAGATCATCATGTTCAACCTACGACTGAATATCAGCCTGTCAACAAGACCATGGCACTAAATGCCATGTCCAGTGTTTCCTTAAATACCTCCAAGGATGTCAACTCCACTGCCTCCTTGGTGGTGAAGCCTCCTGCTCCCTTGACAGCTCATTCCAATGTCTAATCATCCTCTATGTGAAGAAATTCTTCCTGATCTCTAACCAAAACCTCCCCTGGCAGAGCTCGAGGCCATTTCCTCTTGTCTTGTCACTGGCTGCCTGGGAGAAGAGGCTGATCACCACCTGGCTACAACCTCCTTTCAGGGGATTGGAGAGAGCAATTAAGGCCACCCCAGAGTCTCCTCCAGGCTAAACATCCCCAGCTCCCTCAGGTGCTCTTCATCACACGTGTGCTCCAGCCCTTCACCAGCTCTGCTGCCCTTCTCTGGACTTGCTCCAGCAGCTCAGTGGCTTTCCTGACTTGAGGAACCCAGAACTGGACACCAGTGCTGAGTACTAGGGGATGGTCACTGCCCTGTTCCTGCTGGCCACAACACAGAGAAGCTCTGAGCTCTCAGTGCTAAGCTAAGATAGGGACTAAAAGTCTTTAACCAAGTTATTTTCTGTCTCTCAAACGGCCCCGGACGATGGGGTCTGGACTCGCTGCTGCAAGCTCCCTCCTGCAGTCCCTTCCCATCACTCACCAGCTTCGGGCCAAGCTGTTCCAGATCAGTCGATGCTCCTTCAGCAGCAGTTTCTGGATCACGCCCTGCAGCCCCTCATGGTAGTGGCTGGTCAGTGCAGCCTGGGCTGGCAGCACTATGCCTAAGGACAAGGGATGTGTCATGGCCAAAAGAGGAGATCCTGGCCCTTGTCCCTCGTCCAGGGCCACAGGGTGTCCTTACCTTCCAGGGCAACGTAAGGCAGGCACCGCCCCTCAGCTGCAGACACCACGGCTGGCAAATTGTCATCGACCTGGAGCTTGGGGGCCTCCTGGAAAAGCATGGACTGGGTGTGAGCTTGGGCAGGGACAGGGCAGTGAGTAGGCCAAGAATGCCTCTGTGGAGATCTCTGGCAGGATGTGGCCTGCTCAATTCTGCGTGTCATGAAGTAACCAGAGGATGGAGCAGGCTGCAGGCATCAGCGTGTGCACCCAAATGAAAACATGGAGGGCAGTAGGGAAGAGACAGTGGGCAGGAAAGAGCATCTAAGAGACAGGGCTACCTGTATGCGTGCCACGACTCTGGCTTTCCTCCTGTACAGGTAGTAGAAGAGGCCAGAGAAGGCGAGGCTGGAGCCCAGACACAGCAGCTCCCCCGGAGTGATGGGTTTGTCCATGGTGCCAGGCTTGGGCAACAATGCCTGCAAGGTGAGCGTGTTGTCTGGGAAATGGGGCTGTGTCACCCACGACAGGGACATCCCACTGACCCTGTTCTGCAGGCAGCGGTGTCCCTGGGTCCCTGTCCCCAAGGCGGCGCTTTGTCTCATTGTCCCGGACCCCAAGGCAGGGATGCTCCTCTGCCTCTGTCCCCACGCTCAGCCGCCCCAGGGCCAAGCCTGCCCCCGGCCCCAGCGAAGGCAGTTCACCTCCAGCACCCACAGGTGCCCGGTACCCAGCTCGACATCCCGGGCCCAGCAGAGCCCAGCCCCGCACCCGGGATCGGGCCGATCCCCAACACCCGTGACGCAGCCCGGGGCCTGGCCCAGGCTTCCCCCCGGTCCGGCCCCCGGTCTGTCCCGGCGCAGCCCCCGGCTCGGTCCCGGCCCGGCCCCGCCGCCCCGATGCCCCCGTACCCCCGAGGCGCCCAGGCCCGGACCCTGTCCCTACCGCGCTCCTTGCTGGGAAATGTAGTTCAACCCTGGCGGTGGGGCGCGGGGCCCGGCGTGACCGAACTACCCCTCCCAGCATCCCTCACGCTGAACTACAGCTCCTGTCACGGCCTGTGTCGTCCGCGGGCAGAACCACGACTCCCAGCAGCCCTTGCGAGCGCCCGTGTCCGCGGGCGATGGGTCCCGCGGGGTCCCGGTACCGGGAGTTCGGCGCAGCCCGGCGTATGGCCGCGCTGTGCAGGGCGGGACCGGCCGGGGCGGGCCGTGGAAGCTCCGAGTGCAGGCTCGGGGCAGGCTGGGATCAGCCGCGCTGGAAGCAGCGGGACCCCCGGGCTGGGCTTTATCGGGGACTCCCGCGGCTCTGACTCGTCCCCAGCAGCCTCGCTGTGTTCTTCCCCCGCCACAGCCCTGCTCCCCTCATCAGGGAATTCCATCCAGACGCCTCATCCCCCGCTCCCCTCCCTCGGCATGTCTCACCTCCCCCGCGGCCCCGGCCCTGGAGTCCCCCCATAGCGTTCAGATCCCACCTCTCCCCCCGCCCCGGCACCGCCAAGGACCCGGAGCTGCTGCAGTAAGTGGAAACTGCTTTTAATCGTTAAATAAACTCGGCGACAGCCACCCACAGCTGAAAGGCACCAGCGTCCCCGCTGCCGCCCGCTGGTCCCAGCAGAGGTGGATGGGGAAGCCAAGCTGCAGTGGGGGGCACAGGGGACGCGCGGAGCCGGGTGGCCCCAGCCTCCGTCAGGGTGGGGCAGGAGCGGGGGGCGGCGGCTCTGGTGCTGCCCCGGCCCCGCTCTCACCTGCCCGCCTGAGGGGGGACGCAGCGCAGGGGTCGCTGAGCTGTGCCCGACTCAAGCACATCGGGGCTGGGGGGCAGAACTGCGTTTGGGGGATGCTACAGCCTCTCTGCCGGCCGTGCCCAGCCCCGAGCCGTGGATGGGGCTGCGGTGGGTGCCTGCTGTGGGGCCGTGTGTGCCGGGGAGGGTGCAGAGGTGGGGTGAGCAGTGCGAGCACAGGATGGGGACTGCTCTCTGCCCGTGGCCAGCTCCGGCAGCCACTGAGGTCTGGGGAGGGGGAGCACAGCAGAGTACCATCCCCTCTGTCCCCAGCACCCTCCCCGTCCCTACCACACCTCACAGTGCTTGCCGGGGTTCATGGGGGAGCCCAGGGGGCAGCCGAAGTGTTCGACAAAGTCCCGGGAGTTGCTGAGGGTGCCGATGACGCGATACTTGTCGGGGCTGTGGGGGTCGGTCACCAGCCCTTCGTGGGAGCTCTCGGGCGTCCGGACGGAGCACCACACCTGACGGAGCGGGAGCAGCCTCAGGGATGCGGACAGAGCATCCCCCGGTGCTGGATGGGGAGCTGTGGGGTGGCTCCGAGCGGCCAGGGAGGGACGGGAAGCCCATCGCCTTGCTCCGCCCTACCTGCGCAAAGCCCACGAAGAAGAGCTGGTGGTTGGTGAGCCCCAGGGCTGGCAGGCGTTTCTCCTCCCCGTTCTTCTGCAGCCAGGACTTGTAAGCCTGCGGGAGAGCTGGCCTGAAGCTCCGGGAGGGGACAGACAGGCACGGGGGTTCTTGTCCCCTCCGGATGGCGGCACTCACGTTGTAGGCTGCCTTCAGCCCGCCGTTGTCGGCGATGTTCTCGCCCAGTGTCTGCCGCCCGTTGACCTTCTCGCTGTGGACGGTGTAGCGGCCGTACTGCTCCGTCATGCACGCCGTCCGGTTCTTGAAGGCCTCCAGGGAGGAGTTCTGCCACCACGGCCGCAGGTTTCCCTCTTTGTCATATTCCCGTCCTGCAGGACCGAGCCGTGGGTTGGGGTGGGACCAGAGGAAGCCGTCCCACTGCAGCCCCTCTGCTGCAGGGGTTCCCGAAGCAGAATGGGGTGTGGTGGGGAAATGGGCACTGGGAGATGCCAGGGGGACCTGGCACCTTCGGTCCATGCCCAGGGGAGAAGGTATCCCCCAGCCATGCACTTGGGTCCCCAGGCATCCCCCAGTGCATTCTCGCTAACCCAGCCCAGATCTGTGACCCTAAATTCCCTCATTGACCCCATGTCCGCTCCGGGGCTGTGGTGAAGGTGCAAAGCAAAGTGGATGCGAGAGGGACCCATCCCATGCCCTGGAGGGAAGAGGATGAGAAGGGGGCTGGGGCTGCAGACACTGTGTCCTCACCAAGCAGATGGAGCGAAAGCTGCACAGAGAAGCCGGGGGAAGGTATCGGCAGGTGCCACCTGGGGAGACAGGACGATAGAAGGGGGTGGCCAGGGGGGCACGAGCACACATGATGCAATGGATGGCAAAGCGGGACCCCTGTGCACCTCTTCCCCGTGCCAGGGGCAGGGGCTGGGGGGGACAGGAAGGTGACAGGGGTCAGGGCCAGCGCTGCCTCTAGGCTCTCACCTTGGTCATCAAATGCGTGGGTCAGCTCGTGCCCCATCACCACGCCGATGCCACCAAAATTAAGGGCTCTGTGAGGCCATGGGAAAGAACCATGTAAGTACAGGATGTGTTAATGAAGCCATTGCATCCCACCCCATCTCTGTCTGGACACCCAATGAAACTCTGCTCCAGCTGGGACCCAGCTGAGAACCACTCCTGTTGGGGACACTGCTGGCCCTAAGGGGACTCAGGCTGTCTTGACTGCAGGATGTAAAGCCTTGAGGGACACTCAAGCTCTTCAGGGCTTTTATTTGTGACAGTAGAGGGGGGGCTCTGTGGCATGCTGGCCGTGATCCAACCCATGGCTCCATGAGGTGCCCCCCATGCCAGACTCACTTGGGGTGGTTGCGGGCGTAGAAAGGAGCCTGGAGGATCCCAGCAGGAAAGACGATCCCGTTCTTGGTGGGCAGGTAATAGGCATTGACAGTCTGTGGGGTCATGCTCCACCTGGGGCAGGGAGGTGGGACAGGGTACAGGCAGGGATGCGTCCCTCTCACCCCAGCCCCAGCAACCTCCTGTGCCACTGCCCACCACGGGCCCTGCCAAGGTTGACACTTTTGCCCCATCATGTTACCAAGGTCCATGCCTGGGGATAAGCCCCAGCTACCACAGGCGACCTGTGCTACCACAGGTGACCTACAGTGCCGTGCTACCCCATGAGGGTGACCTCGTCCCCACCGAGCCAGCGCCATCCAGGCACCCAGGATCACATCCTCCCCTCCTCCCCACCAAGCCCACCCCTTACTGGTCGCGGTTGGGAGGTTTCCGGAGTTGGTCGGCCATCACTTTGGCAGAGAAGTTGTAGAAGTTGAGCATGTTTTGGAAGAAGGAGTCCTCAGAGACCTCGTACTGGTGAGGAAGAGGAGGGATGAGGACAGGTCCACTGAGGTGTTTCCCCACACCCTGGCCAGGATGATCTCAGTACTTGGGTGGCTTTGCATAACGTCCCAAACAGGGACATCACTCGACAATGAGGCCCCCCCAGGCTTGGCATGACCAAGCTTCTTCCCCACAAGTCAGATGCCCCCTACCCCATCATAGACATCATCCAGCTCCTTGTTGTCCAGAATGAAGTCAGGGAAGCCAATCATGTCGTAGATGGCATCCGCCTGCATGGGGAGAGGCCCCAGCAGTGAGACTGGGGGGCTTATATGGATAGGGTGAGGTTTCCCATCCACTTCCCTCCCTGGGGTCACCTTCTCCTTTGCAGCCTGCCTGGTCTTCTCATCCATCCAGTCCAGCTGGTCCAGGGATACCTCGAAGGCTGCACGGATCTCGCTGATCATCTCCTCAGCCTGGGGAAGGGAGGGAATGAAGGTCCCCTACCCCCCACAATGCCTTGGAGGGGACAGGGTGGACAGGCTACAAACTCCCCAGGGCTGGGGACCTCATTTTCCAGCTCCCTGCCTTCCAGCCCTGGGGCTTGGGTGGAATTGGGATTCCTGTGGATGGTGAGGGGAGGGGATGGGGACAGAAGTATTCTCACGATGGCCTTGCTGTCCCGGTCAAAGGTGGCTTTGACGAAGAGGGAGCCCAGTGCAAAGCCCAGTGTGTCATCCGTGTTGGAGATGCAGGTTTGCCAGCGGGGTGTGCAGGACTGTGGGAGCAAGATGAGGGTCCATGAAACCCTCAGCCCACTCCCTTGCTCCCCTGTCTTCATTCAGCCTCTTCATCATAGGGGAGACAGGCAGCAGCAAAACCCCCATCCCAAAAGATAATCCCTGGGATCCCACTGAAGCATCCAGGTCTTAGCATCCCAAGGGCATCTGAAGGACAGAGGAGGTCCTGGCTGCTTCCAGGCTGAGTGTGGAGAGTCTGATCCTAGGGCCCTCTGTTACCTTCCTGGTGCCATAAAGTGTCTCCAGCAGCCTCTCCTGGGCTGTCTCGAAGCGCTGGTCCAGACTGGAGGCTGTCTTCTGCACCAGGTTCCAGATCAGGTAGTTATTCAGGATGCTGTGGGGGCAGAGAGATGCTGCAGCTCACCACAGTCTACGACTTCAAGACGCTGATGAGCCCAAAATGTGTCCCTGCCATGGGGGCCACAGCCAGGGATATGAAGGAGCCTCACCTCCTGTCAGTGTCATTGATGAGGTCAGAGACCTGCTGAAGGTAGGTGTCCCCATACACCACGACAGGCTCCGTGTCCGCCAGCTCCAGTGGGGCCAGGGCATAGGAAAGGTAATCCAGCCAGTCAATGGCAGGGGCCAGCAGCTGGAGGGGACACAGAAATGTGGCACCAGGGGCTTGGATTGGCTCTGCTGCGTCCTGCTCACAATGGAGGGGATCTGCCCCAGGAGCTGTGTTTTCT